ATTTTGAGATCTATAATATTTTTTATAGTGTTATTGGAACTCGTCAAGTTGAGATGACGAGTTTCAATAAAAAATATTTTTATTTAAATTTGGTACGTCGAGGTGACGAGTTCTAATAAAATATATATTTTTTATTAAAATCTATCGCAACAAGGTAAAAAGTTAAAATAAAAAATATTTTTCTTAGAATTCGTCATCTCGACATAACGAGTTTCATGTTACTGTAGAAAATACTATAGATTCTAAAATAAATTTTTACTTGCCCTATTAGGCTAAATAAAAAATTCATATACCTTACTGGGCCAATTTTCCCCCCTCAGCGTGACGAGTTCTAATAACACTGTAGAAAATGTTGTACATCCCAAAATATAAACCGAGATACCCTAATGAGCTTAAATAAAAAATCGTTATCCTTATTGGGCCAAAAAGCCCATTCTTTGTCTATGTATGACTCTCTATATATAGTATTTACTAAAAGTGATATTTGCTGAATCTAGTAAAATAGTTAATAGATATTTGCTAAAAGTGATAAGAAATTATGTATGAATGGAAACAGTTTTTTATAGAATATTTCCCCAAGCGAAGCGGGAAGGGAATCATACTGTAATAATTATTAAATGCAAATCAACTTAATTTTGGAGAGGATCGTCTCAATTCTAAATCAAATTAATATAATTTAAAGACTTAATTAATAAATTATCTTCTAAATTATAATCCTTTCAATTTAATATATATATTTTAAAAATCTTCTAAACTTTAATTTTGTTATCTAAAATGTTATTAAACTTTAATTATGTTACATTAATTGTCTCAAAACATGAGATCTATTAAAAAATTGCAAGTCAATTAAAATATGACATGTGTCATTTTAAATTAAAATTTATTTTTAATATTAAATTAAAAATAAAATATTACATTAATTAAGTATTCGTAACTATTTGAGAAGGAAAATGTTTATTATTTGTGAAATTCAGATTCTGGTTATCAGAACATGCAAGTATTGAAAATTTTTTATTAAAAAAGTGTGATTTCAAATCGAAGTTTTTGAGAAAGATGAACATCTATATCATTAAAGGTGTAAATTAACATAGCGTTCAGTAAATTGTTCGTATAATGTTCGTTTGTTAAGCTAAATAAATGAGTATGAATAAATTTTTTATGTTAATTTAATAAATGAACCAACACAAACAAATGTGTGTTTGATTCGTTTATGTTCACGAACAAACTCGTTTATTGACTCGTTCACTTATGTTCACGTTCAAGTTCGTTTATTCGATTCTTCTTTTCCTTTTATTTTTTTTACATTTTAAATATTGGTGAAGATATGGACTAAACTAAGGAGCAGTTTGTTTGCCTCATAATGAAACCATTCAACGTGTTTGTTTCACACCTCTGAATGATTCAGTGCTAATTGATTCAGCAAAACAGTGCTGAATGACTGAGCACAGAAGTACATTCTGAAGGATTCAGAACCATTATCAAATAACATGTCACATTCATAACTAATTCATTCAGAGCCTCTGAATTATTCAGCATTTGAATCATTCAGTGCTTAATCATTCTGAAGTAAACACTCAACCCCTAAATGCATGGTAAAAATTGAAATTTAAATTGTGAATTTTGAGTTTAAGCACTGGTGGTGTAATTTTATCATTTTCTTTTGCTTGCAAATGAAAGGCTAAAACTAATAATTGAACACTAAATGAACTTTAAGTAAATATGTTTGTGAATGCTAAATGAACATGTTCATGAATATATAAACGAACACGTTTGCGAACATTAAATGAGCATATTCATGAACAATAAATAAACAAATACGAACACGAATTAAACATGAAAACCTTAAAAAATAAACAAACGAACACAAACATAACATTGTTCGTTCAAGCTTGGTTCATTTACACATGTATATCGTATGAATGAATAGTGATGATACAATCGTCTCCTGAAAATTTTAAATTCTCATAAAATTTAAATATTTTATTATTATATTTTTATTGATAATCTATTTTCGTTCCTTAAAATTTTATAAATTCACCTCTAACATAAAATCATATGTTTATCTTTTATACACATTTAAAAAAATGTAGTTTATTTAGTTTGCCAATTAATCCTTTTATAAAGTAATATTATATTGAATAATATTAATTATATTTTTATAGAAATAAAGACACGATATTAATATTGATGTGATTAAAGTGTCCCATATTATATTACGTTTTTATTGACTCGTATTTTTTTTAAATAAAATTAACATATTGAGATAATTTTAGTAATAGGATTTAAGTTTAGATATTTTTTGGGAAAAATTAAATATTAAATTAAAAAATATATAATCTAGGGACAATGTATCATCAGCTAAGCCTTTTTTTTAATAGTACTAAGCCTATTTTAAATATAAAAAGGATAATAAGTAGTACATACATTGAATATTTTTTAAGTAAATAAAGAAAAGGATTCGTTGCGGCCTGCCCTATGAGTGGGAAGGCAACCGCAATTTCTTAATACCGATTTGGTTGGTCAATGTACACATTGCCCTGCAGCTATTACGATGTCGTTTTACAGTGTACGTCAAATTATTTTACTTTTTTTTTGCAATAAATTATCTTGCTTGTATTTTTGGTTTTTGATACATTTTATAATTTGATTATAGTTTTGTGTATTAGTAGTGGAAATATAATTTTATAAATATGATTAAAATATTGATAAATATTTAATTAATTTATTCTTTTAATTTTTAAAATATTTGAATGGTGTTAAATAATAGTTAAGTACTTAGTTGAAATTTGGATATTTCTTCTAAAATTGAAAACAAATATTTGATCATGATATTTTTCATTGTAAGTAATATTATTATTCGTAACGAGTTTTAGTAGAAAAAAGAATTGTCATTAACTTTTTTTTTTTGGTAAAAATCAAAGGGGAAAAATTATTTTCTGATGTAAATTGAAGAAATATATATATATATATATATACTTTAAAGAAGGAATTATTATAATAAAGGATTTATTTGACAATCGCGGATTGCTCTAATTTTTTAACGTCTGTTTATTAAAATGTCAAAATTTATAAGGAGAAAACATTTTAATGAGTGAACTGAAAAACAAATATTTTAATAGAAATTAAAAAATATTTATAATGTAAAATGATAAATGGGTCTGTTTAATAAAATCCAGTGTTTGAAGATTACGGACGGCTGTTCGAAAACTAATGAGTCTTAATTGTGCATCAAAATGTATATAATTTTGTACTAACAATCAATTGATCTAATAAGATGATATATTAAATTTTTTAAATAAAATTAAAAGATCGTTATTACCTTTACAGTACTTGATCTAAATTAGATATCAATATATCAGAAACTGGTTGTTATAAAAAAAATGTATACTATCCACCCAATTATTGACGGAAATTGATCTGACCATTCCCCCGTGCGATCATTGACATTATAAACAATGCCTACACATTTATATTATTTTATTAACAATATCAAAAGGCACGGGTTGTTAGATTGATAAGGACATTTGTGCGAAAGTGACAAATTAATTTTTCTAACAAATGATTTTATACCATTTTATATCTAATAAATCACCGAGCATGAACAACATGCATAGCTAAATGTTGCAACAAATTTGAATTAATATGCAAGTTTAAGTTAAAACTATCAAGTAAAATGGAAAGGAAGATTAAATTCATAGAGTAATTTATATGGTAAATAGGAGTTTTATTATCCATTAAGGATCTTAATTCGAGTAATTGCATCCGTAAAATATATGTGTGTCGTCAATGACTAAGAAATATTCTTACTATATATTGTCTTATAATTACCTTAGACTCTTTAAAAATAAAAAGAAAGATGAATCCATCAAGTGGTTTCAATTATAAAAGCAGATGTTGTTCTCTTTAGAAATCTTGAGTTTGAGAAATTTCGTTTGCAGGGTGTATGCATCATCAATCAATTTAAAAAAAATTGGACAGATATTACCTTACGATCGCCAAGATTATTATAAGAAAAATAGAAGGAAAGACTTTCGTACATATGAAAAATAAGTTATATATTGTATGTCCATTGGGAAATCGCTTTCTTAAGCCGATGTGTATTCTTTTGTTAGAGACACCCAATTTAAAATTAATGACATGAGGATTTGAATCATATATTTAAATTAGAGGGACATGTTTTATTCTGTTTTGAAGAATTGAACAAGACAATCCGAGTAGAGGAGTTGGTAATCATGATTGATGAGTTCAACCTCACATTTCGTTTTTATGAATTTGCATCAAATATTTTCTTCAGGATTTGATTATTGGGATTTTCATAAATATGGATTAAAGGTTATCTGAATACCATCTTAATTCTTTTTCATCCTAAGCCGTTCATGTAATTAAAAAAGATATTATTTATATTTATATAAGTATAGATTAAAAATTACTTTAATGAATATTTTTTAAAAATATTTTAATCCTACCAACAGAGGTTGATTCAAATGGTAAGCAGTTTGATATTGCTTAAGTAAGGTGTTGAGGTCGAGTTCTTTTGTATGTAGAAAATCTATGTTGAGAGACTTATCCACCGAAATTAGGTGTGCGACGCAGGTCAATTCATATTAGTCAAGGCGAAGTTTTGGAACCGAAAAGGTTTTTTTTAATCTTTATGTTTTTTAAATCTTTGTATTCTTTTTGATAAATGAAACTACTAATGAAAAAAAGTAACAAACTCATTAAATTGACATAAAATGTTTTATCTTTTTGTTGATATCAAGTTATCAACGTTAGTTATTTTTTTTTTTTATGTAAAAAATTTAAATTTTAAAATTCAAAAAATATTTAAAATCTATAAACATATTTGAATTATTAAAAACTAATTTTTTATGTTATTAATAAATGAAATTATCATATTAATTAGGTGTGGCTATTTGATTCAATAGAAATATAACACAAAATATAATATAAATGTTAAAAATATGGTCCCTACAAAATTAGCCGGTCGGTCAAACTCAAACGCAAACGGCATATTAGGCGTAAAAGAGAAGAACCTCTGTGGCTTTCCAAGGAGGCTTCCAGTATTCATCCTTTGTCTCTTTGTGTTCTCTCTCACGTCTTACATCGGAATATTAGATGGAGGTTTGTCGGATTATGCGCGTCACCATGGCTACATCTTTGACCACTCACAAATCTAGGGTATGGATTTTATGTCTTTCGAAATTTGTCTGCTGGTACCCTCCCATTCCCTCCATTTTCTTATTACTATCAATGCTCATTCTATCATCTACGCTCACTTTCTGCGTCGCTTCCCCCTCTTCCAGTGACCCTCCGACAACCTCTTTAAAAACAATCCAACACCACCTTCCCTATCAAATCGTTATCCTCATCATACTCTCTCTCGTCTTTGTTCTAGCCTTGTTGTTTGCCATGGGGTTTCTGTTCAAATTTCTTAAGCTTAGGAAATTCCGACGAGGTAAGCCCACGTCGGACACTCATCCTGATCAAAACAAGGGGAAAGATTCCGTTGTCGATGGAGAAGGGTTTGTCAGGAAATTCAAGTGGGACGAGATTAAGGATGCCACCAAGGATTTCTCACTTGTAATCGGTCAAGGAGGGTTCAGCAATGTCTACTTGGCTAACTTGTCTGGTTCAAGACAAGGAGCAGTAAAGGTCCACGTCGGTAGTGATCGACTAAACCAAGTGTTCAAACAAGAACTGGATATCTTGCTCCGTCTCCGTCACAACAACATCGTCAAACTTCTCGGTTACTGCGATGATCTAGGTTCGTTGCGTGAGTCTTTTGCTTTACTCTTTAAAAAGAAATAAAGATGAAGTCTTTTCGATTAATTGAATCTTTTTAATACATTTTTCTCAGAGGAAGGGGCCATGGTGTTTGAGTACATTCCTAATGGAAACTTACAACAAAAGTTACACGAAAGGAATAAGGAAGTACTTCCGTGGAAGAACCGCACGGCCATAGCTTACCAACTTGCTCAAGCAATCGAATACCTACACGAGAAATGCAGCCTCCAAATAGTTCATGGCGACATCAAAGCTTCAAATATCTTGTTGGATGAGCAATTTAACTGTAAACTATGCGATTTTGGGTCATCAAAGATGGGGTTTTCGTCGACGGTGATGCCACCCTATTGTTCTAGGATGAAGCAAGTGATGATAGGCTCACCTGGTTACACTGACCCTCATTACTTAAGGACTGGGTTCGCCTCCAAAAAGAACGATGTGTACAGCTTGGGTGTTATCATACTGGAACTTGTTACTGGTATGGAAGCTTTTTGCCCTGAGAGGGGACAATTATTGACATCAATATTGGCACCCAATTTAAGAGCCATTGAGGCGGAGATGAAAGTGGAGGAATTGGTGGATCCACATTTGGGTGGTGAGTTTGAGTTGGAAGAAGCTGAGGTTATGGTTTCAATTGCTGCACTCTGCCTTCACCAGTCTCCCATTGTTAGGCCTTCGGCTTCTCAAATCATGGAATTAATGAAGGAGAAGATCACTTCCATCAACATCTTGGATTGCCACAAATAATCAATATCGTCTTTTATCGGGGCGTTTTCCGGTTTCAAAAAATTGAAATTGTTTCTACTTAGTTAAATGTTTCAGGGCCTGTCCTGCATGGGATTGTGTGCCCCTTAATTAGAGGAGAAAAATGATTGGTGTGAGTGGAAATATAGTATATGTAATTATAAAATGATTTAAGATTACTGTATGTGGAAGTAAAAAAAAACACACATTTGAAAGATGATTTGCAATTGTTTCTACTTTCTTCAAGATGACTAAACAATTGCAATGCTATAAGCGACTTTTCCTTTTTGTATTTTGGCTTTGCAAATACTAAATACCACAGTTCTGTGTGAAAGGGATGTTACGGTCCTAAAGCTTTACGGATACGCGTGCCTATGTATTTCAGGATAAGAAGAGACTTGATAAATCTCGTCACTATGAATTTTAATACAAAAGATTTCTTTTCTTAAAAAGAAGATATTTTATATATATATTAATGAATGAGTTTAGAGTGTACGTTGCATATCTCACATCGAAATATATTAATGTACATTATTAATTAAATTATTCTTATTAAATAAATATAAAAAATATAATAATCTATTCATAATTAATCTTTATTATTATTTAGTTTAAATTTAATAAAAATATAATTAGATTATATTTTTTTATTAAAATTATAAGAGTAAACTATATGAATAGTCCACTTTGTTTTCGGTCTAGCCAAATTTGGTCATTAGTTCAAAAATTAAGTGCGTTTATCCCTAACGTTATCGATTTGTTCGGTTTTAATCCCTCAGGTGTTAACTCCGTTAACCCTTTAACGAAAATATTACGTGGCAATTAAAATTGTTTAAAAAAAAATCTATATGCTGCTGCTGCTTCTTCAAACTGCAATATATAAAAAGCAGAGCATCAAACACGTGATATACCCAAGCTTAATGACATTTGTGCAAATTATGGACATTTTAAGTCTTTAAGATCAACGAAACTTGAACTATAATTTCAACAATTTTATTACCATCTAAAAGGGCTTCACAAACTTCCTTGACAGTCACATTGAGTGCCATTAACAAAATTGCTATGTTTTGCGCCTTTTTGGGATCCAACACTTTGTTATCTTGGTTTGGTGATGGAAGAACAGGTCGTGAAGTAGATTGGTTTGGTTTCGAATTTGGTGTCTTTGCGACAAATAGTATTTCAAGGCGAGCTGGGCAACGTTTGGTGAAGAAAAAGATTGGTTTTCTCTTGACGGCGGCAGTGTATGTTGAAGAATGCGATTTACTGGCAAAATAGGGTCTCCTTGATGATTGTTTTAGGATGGTTTTACAAATTTAAATAAGTGCTCCACTCCTAAACAAATAGAAATTCTTAAAACAATTATAAATTTAATAAAAAATATAATCGAATTATATTACTATAAAAATTTAAACTAAATAATAATAAAGGATAAATTGTGAATAAATCATTATATTTTTATATTTATTTAATAATAATAATTTAATTAATGGTGTACATTAGTGTGTCAAACTAATAATACGTTTTAGTTTGCGATGCCTATTCTAAAATTTTCTTATCTTAATATGATTTTGATGTTCGATAAAAAAACTTATTAAGTTATTTTCTACCACATCAGTTTATCAAAAGTATTTAGGATTTATATTTTATTACAAATTATACAAGTGGGTTATATGATTAAGCTTTTTTTTATTGATAAATGTAACATGTTAGTTAAGAGTTATCTCATAATATTTTTTTTAAATTCGAATCTAAATTAATTTATTAATACACGAATGGTAAGTAATTATATTTAAAAATTAAATATATTTAATTCTAAAGGTTTTTGAAGAAATATTTTTAGTTTCCGTCAAAATATTAATTTGCATAATATAAATGCAAAAATTAATAATATTTAACGAATTGTATTTGATATAGTAAAAATATATGATATACACTACCAATGTATTACATTAAAACAAACCATCAATAGAACAATAGTAGTTTAGCATGTGGCGACATCAATTTTGATATTGATCGTTGACTTTATGTATTCTTTATTCTTTTTTTATTTTTTATATCACATCTTTGGGGTTTTTTTTAGTTTATAATTACATTGTTTTTATGACATGATTTTCTCTACATTTATGACACAATTTCTCTATATTTTGATACATTTCCTGTCTTTTTTATAAGTTGTTTCGGAGTTCTTTTTTTTTTTTAATTTTCTTAAGGATCGATTCGACGTCATCTTAACTAATCAAGGTGACACCTATTTGTTATCATGTTGGTTATTCTTTCTTTGGACCCTCAGACTGGGTTTGGATACGCGATTTGCATCCATAAATTATTTTCTCACGATGCTCGACTCTGATTTGTAGTTGTTCGTAGTCTTTCAGTAATTTGATCTCATATTGTAATTCGTTTATAGAGGCAATTAGATCCGTTCACATCTATCTTTTGTTCGAGTTTTTTTGGATGAGTTTTTGACATTTTCCTTGTATGATCTCAAGCGGCTAGTTTTTTGTGTCGATGGTTATAAGAAAGTATCTATTATGTATTTAATTTACGATTATGATCGTAATCTTTCATTATAATTTTGAATATTTAATTTTTTTAATAAAACTATCGACTTTTATTTACATAAAAAATCATCAATACAATAATAAATAATTTAAAAAAAGCTATAAGTAGTGTATTCTATTTAAAAGCAAAACAAATGTTCAATGGACCTTATGTAATAAAGAATTTGTACATGCTAAAATAAATTAGGTGTGTGTTTGGATAACATTGGATAGTTATATAAAAATGTAATCATTATCTTAGTAATTATATGAGTATAATTACAATAAATTATAATTCTTTAGACATATTCGATTGGTGGAATGTAATTACATTTTAATTTCTTGTGTGAATTTTGTTAATATAAATTATAATTATAAAAGTCTATAAATCTAAAATTTAAAATAATATTAATTATAAAATTAAACATTATAATTACGACATACATTTGTAGGTTCAATGCAAAATTTTTTATGGTTTAAATTATGTAATTTCTTTGAATCTCATTAAATTTCAATATGAAATTTTCTTATAAAGAATTGACTCTACTAGTCACGTATGGTCACAACATAGGGTCACATAGGGATTGACACCCTATTTTTATGAAAATAGTTTCCAATCACTGACTCTACTAGTCACATAGAGTCACAACATGCTCAATCAGATATATATTTTATAACACTTCAAATTTTGATATTAAAAAATATATCCGAAGTCGGTAATTAAAAATATGAAAATTATCGAGATATTTAAATTTTAATTACTTTATTAATTTATTTGAGCTTTTCTGAAAAATGCAACATTGATAATATATAGTTTTACTAATGAAGGGCTAGAATAGTTTAAATGAAAATTATGTGAATTCTAAAGAAATGACTAAAATGAAAAGAAATTGAAGGACTAATTTAAAAGTGAACAAAGGAAGAAGTTTTGTATGTCAAATTTACCGAGATAATATAGTGGGCTTTGATGGAAATTCAAGTATTAGGGGTCAAACTTATAATGTTTAGAATTCCTAAACGGATGAATAATGCTTATTTTTTATATTACGAAATTAATTAAAATAATTGACTACACCAAAAACACCGTTTTGTTTCATTTTTGAGTTCAAAATCAATTGGTGAGAGAGAAAAGTCATAATCTTTTTTAAAATTTTAAAAGTTATTGAATAATGTGTGTATTTTTATGTTTTGAAGTTAAGATGATTGTGGGTTTATTCAAGTAAAAGAAAGGGGGGGGGATGAGTAATCGATAAATATGAAGAATATTATAAGTTTATATTAGGTGGGTGTTATTGATTTTGTATTTATATTATTTCGATGATATATGTATAGGTTAAATTCATACATTATATTTGAAAACGAGTTTTAAACTAAACTTTCGACTATCATCAAAGGCATGATTGTACGTGTTTTTATCAGGAAAGTACTATGCGAAGAGTTGTTATGATAAATGAAATGAAAGATTGACATGAATGAATGCCATGAATATAGTATGTATATCGTATTAATTGAACTTTATGCTAAATGTTATGTGAATTGATCTTCTGACGAAAGAATTGTGAAAGTACTATTATGTTAAAATAGTGAATTTGAATAATAATGTACTTCAGTGACTAAGAGATAAGCCGAATAACTAAAATCGATATTTAAAGAGAAAATAAAAATTTTGCCAAAAGAGAGTTTTGAGAGAAAAATAGAATCGAGACATTTAGTGTCACAAAGAAAAGTTCAAAGGTATTTTTATCAAATGGGAGTTTTAATAGTACATAAGTATAGATGAAAGAAAAAATATTGAACCAAAAGTAGCAAAAGGTATAGTTATAAAAGAGGCATCAAATCAATAAATAATGTTAAATAAAGGAATTCAAATGATCAAAGTAATGAATAGATACAAAGATATTACGTTGCTATACAATAATACATATTGTGTTCATATATCTTATAGGATTATTTCGTGATTTGATTTCTATGTTCTTTTTAGATTATATTTTAGGGTTCATAAGCCAAACTCTTATGATGGTAGCATGCAAACTTAAGTTATTTTGATTAATTGATGAAGTAGATTTATGTTTGACATGCATATATGGTCTTTATGTTAAATTAGTTTAGTTTTTCATGTTAAGGCTTTGGTTGCTATGTTGTGATAAGTGTATGTATGTTAATCTTATGTGCTTGTGGTAAAATTTACGTATGTTCTAGCTTTGTATGTTAATAGTTAAGTTACATGAGTAATGAATGCAATGGTGCATGTTTTAAAAGATGGATTCGTAGTTAAGATAATTAATAATTTGATAAATGTATAAAATGAATCTTAAAGATGGTTTTGAATGTTAATCAACTTGTATAACGATTAAACGAATGAATAAACTCTTGTATGTGCCTTTCTTATTAGGATCTAGATGCATGTTGGGTGAATTTTTAAGATAAAAATTATCTATAGAGGTTTTTTAATGTTTAAGAATATGTTAAGGGTTTCTTGTGGCTTAAGAAGATCAAATGGCAAATTTGGGTATCTATACTTGAAACTAATCAGAATTATT